GAAGGGGAGTGCTTCCTTGAGAAGCAGGAGGCAGGAAAGACAGATGCCCCGGGAGGAGGTCTGAGGCCTCTCCAGACCTCTCCAGACTGGAGGGAGAGGAGAAGGAGGCAGGAGGCTAACACTGCTTCTAGCAGAGAAGTCCAGAAAGGAAATACCACAGCCAAGGTCAGAGGCTGTTTGCAGAATTGCTGGAAATCCCAGGTTGGGAAGTCCGGGTGAGAGAGGCGGTTTCAAGGAAAAGAGAGGCCCGAGCAGAGTTCCACAGGGTTTCACCCAAAGGTCACGGTTTGGACCCTCCCGTTTTTTTTTATTGTATGTCAGCCACCACAGCCACCGGGACCTGTGACCAGGGTTAATCAACAACCAAGGTGGGAAGGGAAGATGGGGGTTCATCCTAGAGCAGAGCATATTAAGGGGAGCCTGGAATTCTATCGTATTATACCCCACCAGACCTCTGCCCGCCAGCGCGCACGCGCGAACACACACACACACACACACACACACACACACACACACACACACAGAATGAAATTCAACGCTAAGTCTCCCTCTGCAGCAACCTATCACCTTATCTCCAGCAAGCCAAGTCTCCTAGCCCAACATTGTACCAAACAAATTATGACCTGAATGGCAAGAAAAACTGTGTCACCTAGAGAAACCCAATTAGCGACATGACTCTGCTCTCCTCCATTCCCCCCTCCAGGCGTATCCGGGGCACCTGTGTGGCTGACCGCCTTTTCCCACGACTGGCCGCGTTCCCTGGGCAGCTCCGAAGCCAGACCGTTGACACAGGGGCCTCGGGAGAAGCCAGCCCACAGCCGGGAAATGCTACTGCCCCCCACACCTTGGCCTGTGGAGGAAGCGCGAGGGACACAGCATAAACACACCACCTGGGGGGACAGTCCGCGGAACGATCACCTTGAAATCACTAAGTTGCTCCTTAAGCCGGCGCTCCTTGCTGAACACAAATGCTCCTGAGAGCTCCCAAATGGGGGCGTGCACGTGCCCCAGAAGGGACAATAAATAGGTATTTCCAAGAAATTCCTGCTGTGGTTGCTTTCTCTGATCCCCTCTCCTAATGAGCCCCTCCCCTGAGAGCTCTCCATCACCTGGGGGGGCCCTCCTCCCCACCACGGCTGCTTTTGCAGCCTCCCCACGGACCACACGTTCTGGGTGAGTCCATACACATAAACATCCTTTCCGCGGCCCGTGCCAGGGCTTCGGGAGAGACCCAGCGCACCCCCTCCCCCCTGCACTGGTGTCCGCTCCAGCCCCACACCGCTGCAGAGTTGGTCATGCAATAGGCAGGGACCCTGAGACCGGAAATGCCTGGTTCTGGACTGCTGCACTTGAAACACGAGAGGAGGCAGAGGGAGAGCGGAGCCCGGGGACGAGGGCGACCGCAGGAGGCGCGGGGTGCAGAGGGGCAGGCTGAAATTCCGGCCAGGGCAGAGGTGCAATCCAGGGGTGGGCGAGGAGGGGGAGGCTGTCAAGGCAGTGGCAAAGTCAAAACCCGAGGCGCCGAGAGAGGGGAGGGGGGAGGAGGAGGAGGAGGTGGAGGAGGAGGAGGAAGGAGACAGAAGTAAGGGCAAGGCTGGAAAGAGGCTGGGAGGGGGGCCGGGGCCAGGGAGGGGCACCGGCGGCGAGACTCTGCAGGTGGCGGGGCTGGGGCGGGGGGAGGCGGGGGGGGGGAAGGGGGTCCGGGGCCCGCGTGCAGGCCGAGGTGGCAGGGGAGTGTGGGGGCGGGGCAACACAGGGCGGGGACCGACCTGGCTCCCGGAATCTGCAGCGCGTGCACCGAGAAGGGGAGCCGAGGGCGGGGGCCCCGCAGCGGCGGGCGCCCGGGCGAGGGGCGGGGGGCGCCGGGGCCGGCGGAGGGGCGCCCGGGCGGCACGTGAGGCGGACGGCCGCGCCGCTCCCCGGCGGCGGGGGGCAGGAACCGGGGCGAGGCTGGGGGCGGCGCGCTCACCCGCAGGGCGGACAGGTCGATGTCGTCCAGGCTGCGGGCGGGGGCTGGGTCGCCCATGGCCTCCGCGGGCAGCCGGGCCCCGGGGCCGCTCACGCTCCGGCTCGGTTATTCCGTTGCCGCCGTCGCCGCTTCTCCCCCATCGGGGGATCCCGGGGGCGGACTCCGCCGCGCCTCCCCCGGAGGACGCGGAGGGGGAGGGCCGGCGGGAGGACCGACCCACCGACTGACAGGAGCTAGCGCCCGGAGCCCGCAACCCGAGCCTCCCGACTCTCCTGCGCAGGCGCGGAGTGGCCGCGCGCCGGGAGGGTGGACGAGGGAACGTGACGCGAGCGCGCCGGGTTCCCCTCCCCCTAGGCGCCGGCACCTGCGCGCAGGCGCAGGAGACAGAGCGAGAGCGAAAGGCGCGCGCGAGGACCGAGCGACAGCGCGAGCCTGGCGAGCAGAAGTGGGCGGTGGCCGGGCGGCCGCGGAGCGCGCCCACCGGTCGGCGCGCGTGCGCACACGCGTTTCCTTCTCTTCCCCTGTGTTTTGCCCTTTCTCTCCCCCATTTCCTTCTTTGCTCTCCTTTGACGCTTTTCCTTCCCTTTTCTTCCTCTTTCGTGTGCCCAGCTGCCAATCAAGCCACCCACCTCTATTTGCGGGGGAAGGGGGCGGGACCCAACCCCCCATTACTAGGGGGGTTGTTATGGTAACTCCCCACGCAAGGGCTGGGTGGCCTCTAGATAGGATGGGCTGTCCACCCACCTAATTGCCATGGCAACAGTGGAGCCGCCGAGGGAGGGGCCTCGGGGTGAGAATTTGGCTAGAGAAACCACGTGGGAGTTGGGCGGGGGCGCCGGGTGCCTCGGGAGTGCCCTTTACCCCCTCACTGGCTGGAGTCGGGAGTGTTGAGGAGGGGACCTGAGATCGCAGGGCGGGGAGTCCTCCCGCACACCTTTGTCTCTGCACAAAGGAGCTGTTTCAACAATTATTCATTGACCGATCACTGGAGCCGCGTGTGGGGGAAGGGGTGGCAGGGGGAGGCGGAGGAGAGGTGGACGAACCCATGTCCAACCCCTCCAGATCTTGCTTGGGTCACCTTAGGTCTAGGGTGGGCACAGCAACCCCAGCCATTAGCCTCACTGGAGGCTGGGTGAGGCCATGAAAAGAACCAGGAGTCATGTTCTGCCACTGTCGTGCTGTGTGACCTTGAGCAAGTTGCTTTGCTTCTCTGGGCTTTTCTTTCCCTGCGAAACAGAGGAAGGCTGTTTGCTCCCCGAGATCACTTCCATCAATATTGTCTCTGAAAGACCGCAACACCCGTCTTAATGCAAACATCGCTTAGGAGAGTTTGAATGAAAAGTCCTTGGAAAGGGGTTAACATCCTCGTTTCCAGACCCTTCTCTTTAGCACATTTGGATGCACGTCCAGTTTTGCTCCGCTCCCCTCCTGTTTGCCTTGTCATTGTCCTTGTCCACGCCACAATCCCCACTTACCTCCATTACTCCTTATCAGCCACCTGCCTGGTCTCCCTGCCTGGACCCCCCTCAAGTCAATTCTCCATACCCACAGCGATTTTTCTAAAACTCAAATCTGATGTCACTCTCCTGTCTGAGACCCTTCACTCTGCCCCCACTTTGGAATAAAGTATGGCATCAAAGACCCTTTAAGATTCTGCCTGCTTCTCCTGCCTTGTTTTCAACACTCTGCCATTAGATCTCACATGTTCTAGCCATACTGAAATCTTCTACTCACGTGGCCAGAACCTAACAGAAGCTTCCCCCCAGTCTGCACACCTGCTGTTCTTCTCCCTGGAACATTCTGACCATGCCCACTCTGACTGCATCTTGCTTTACCCTACATGTCTAAATCACCTCCTCCATGAAGCCTTCCTTGATCTGCTAAGGCTGAGTTTAGCTGTTCTGTTTTAACTGCCTGGCTTAAACCCTTGGTAACACTTGAGACTTTGAATTGTAAATGTCTGTCGCATCTCCTTAAAGGCAGGAATCATGTCAGCCTTGTTCAGCACAGGTCTTGGTGCCCCTTAGAGGCTCAGTAACATGTTAAGTGAATGAAGGCGTCTGTCCTTTGGGCAGGCACTGGGATATATGGTAATGCAAGATAAAGACCATGGGATAGTAGGAAAAAACAATTTGAAGTTAGTCCTTTGGCCAAGTCATTAATGTCTCTGAGGTTCGATTCTATCATCTGTAAAATAGAGATAATAGATTAAGATAAAATAGAATTAGATATGTAAAGCACTTGGCATATACTAAGTTCTCAATACATTTGCTTATGCCTGACTCATAGGCCGTGTTTAATAAAGAGATACTGGGGGCGCCTGGGTGGCTCAGTCGGTGAACTGTCTGCCTTTGGCTCACATCATGGTCTCAGGGTCCCGGCATCAAGCCCCGCATCAGGCTCCCTGCTCAACCGGGAGCCTGCTTCTCCCTCTCCCTCTGCTGCTCCCCCTGCTTTTGCTCTCTCCCTCTCTCTCTCAAATACATAAAATCTTTAAAAAGAAATAAAATAAAGAGATACTGAATCAGTGAGTGAGCAGATGAAGAGGGCAGGGATAGGCTGGCCACCCAAACCTCAAGAGGCAGTGCAGTCTGGAAGGTGGGAAGTGCAGAAAAACAAGGCTGACCTTGTGTTCATAATCACCGAGGCTGGAAGGAATATGGACACTCGGATGCATGAGGGTTCATGTTGTCTTTTATGTATGTACATATGAAATTGTCCATAATAAAAACTTAGAGACCATATGGTAGAGAAAGTCCTGGATTGGGCACCAAGGAAAGTTAAAATATATTTTTTTAATTTATTGTTGGGGGGGGAGGGGCAGAGGGAGAGGGAGAAACAGACTCCCCACTGAGCAAGGAGCCTGACAGGGGGCTGGATCCCAGAACCCTGAGATCATGACCTGAGCCGACCCTGAGTCGGATGCTTAACTGACTAAGCCACCCAGGTGCCCCAAGGAAAATTAAAATATTAAAAATAAGACAAATTGTAGGACCCTGTCGGGGATAGATGAACATCTCCCACAGGCCCAGGTGCCCTCGGGGCCTCCCACCCACCTTGGGAGTCTGGATTCATTCTGTTCTTCCTGGGTCTAGAGCCACCTCATCTGATTCCAGGGCTCCATCTCCCTGCACTGTGCTGGCTTCCAGTCAAGAAATTCCAGGACTAATTGGCAGGGGGCTGGGGGCGAGGTTTGCAGATAGACCAAACAGACAGTGTGAAGCAGAAGCCCACCCAGCCCCAGCCCAGCTCGGGACAGCTGCTGTCTCCACCACCCCCTCCACGGTTAATGAGGTAACGGTCCCCTCGGGAAAGAGGCACTTACTGCTGACAATGAGGCTAATTAGCAGGATGCCAATTAGTACCAGGGGACCGCTGTATGTGGGAGGGGGTATTTCTTGTGTGCAAGTGGTTTCTTCAGAGGAAAGGAGGGCTGGGCTCAAAGGATGGGAGCAAGGCAACAGCAACCCCCTTCTCCCCATTGTCATCCACCCACACACCCCTCTTCCAGGAAGCCTTCCTGAACTACTCCCTCTGCTCCCCTCCACTTCCCTCTGCTCCCGTGGTCAATTCTCAGACTGGGGAGCGAGGCTGAGGGACTGATAGGCAAAAGCTAGGACCTGCACTCAACTTTTTCCTAATTGCAAAATAGTTCAGATACACAAAAAAAATGAATATATATATATGTGTGTGTATATATATACGAATATATTTATATATTCATCTACCCACCACTCAGCTTAAATAAATGCCAACAATTCAGGTGAAGAGCTCTCTGTGTATACCCCTCTGTTATCCCCGTCTCTCCGCCTGTGCTGGGAGGTCACCCTCCTCAACCCTCTGTGTGCTACACTCTCTTATAGACCATACCATTTGCAGGCATACCTACTTTTGTTGTAGTTTTTCCAAAGGGAAGGTTTATGGCAACCCAGTGTCAGGCGAGTCCGTTGGCGCCCTTTTTCCAACAGCATCTGCTCACTTCATGTCTCTATATTACATTTTGGTAATTCTCCCAATGTTTCAAACTTCTTCATTATTGTTATATGTGCTATGGTGATCCGTGGTCAGTTATATGACTCACCGAAAGCTCAAGTGATGTTTAGCATTTTTTAGCAATATTTTTAATTTATTTTTATTCTTTTTAAGTTTATTTATTTAAGTCATCTCTGCACCCGATGTGGGGCTCGAATTCACAACCCCGAGATCAAGAGTCCCATGCTCCTTCGACTGAGCCAGCCAGGCGCCCCAGCAATTATTTAAATAATTAAATATTATTATAATATCTATATAAATAATAACTATACATTATTATTTGTGTATTATATTAATATTTACATAATTAATAATTAAAATATTTTTAAATTAAGGTATATACATTGGGTTTTTTTAGACCTACTGCTATTGCACTTAATAGATTACAGTATAGTGTAACATAACTTTTTTTTATGACATTAGTATTTACATGTATTGGCATGTATGTCTGTTTTGTTTTTATTTTTATATATTTTTAAAGATTTTATTTCACAGAGAGAGTGAGAGAGCATAAGCGGGGGGCGGAAGAGGGAGAAGCAGGCTCCCCTCTGAGCAAGGAGCCCCACGTGGGCCTCGATCCCAGAATCCTGGGATCACGACCTGAGCCGAAGGCAGATGCTTAACCGACTGAGCCCCCCAGATGCCCCAAAATAAATAAAATCTTTAAAAAATAAAATCAGGGGTGCCTGGGTGGCTCAGTCGGTTAAGCATCTGCCTTCGGCTCAGGTCATGGGTCCTGGGATCGAGCCCTGCGTGGGGCGCCTTATTCAGCAGGGAGCCTGCTTCTCCCTCTCCCCCTGCTTGTGTTCTCTCTGTCAAATAAATAAACAAAATCTTTAAAATTTTTTTATTTATTTTAGAGAAAGATAGTGCAAACGGGGGGGGAGAGGCAAACGGGGGGGAGAGAGAGAGAGAGAGAGACAGAGAGAACTTCAAGCAGACCCCGCACTGAACATGGAACCCAGCGCAGGGCTCCATCTCCCGACCCAGAGATCACAACCTGAGCCGAAATCAAGTCAGTCGCTTAACCTACCGAGCCACCCAGGCGCCCTGGATGTCTAACACAGAGCAATGCGACATAATGGGTATGACAATGTTTACCCAACAGAATACAGCTTCTTAGAAGCGCAGGAAGGTAAAACTGATGAAGACGGTGACCCTAATAAGCCCTGGGAAGCCAACAAAGTCACGCGGCTCACTTTGCTGCCATGTTGCCTTCCCAGCGGTGGGTCTG